AATAATAACTTTATGGAAGAGTGAGGTGTGTATAGCAATGGAGGAATTAATAGGCCAATTCTCAGTTTTGTTGAAATTTAAATAGGTGGAGGATGGATATGAATGGGTGTTAACAAATGTCTATGGACCTAATGATTATAGAGAGAGGAGGAATCTTTGGGAAGAATTGGGGGATGTAAGGGGATTGTGGGATGGTCCGTGGTGTTTAGGAGGCAATTTTAATGTAATTAGGTTTTTCGAAGAAACAAATAATCCTAGACAGAGGGTGACCACGAGCATGAGGAAGTTTAATCAATTTGTGGAAAGCTTTGAACTTATAGAAATCCCATTGGCCCGTAGTAGTTACACTTGGTCCTACTTACAAGTGAATCCCATTTGCTCTAAGTTGGATAGGTTTCTTTTTTTGGTGGATTGGGAGGAACATTGGGGTAGCTTGGCCTCTAGAGCACTTCCAAGAGTAACTTCAGACCATTGGCCCATCATGATTGGTGTGGAAGAGATGGGAAGCATAGGGCCTGCACCTTTCAGATTTGATAATATGTGGCTTCTTCACTCGGGTTTTATTAAAAAAATCAAGAGTGGTGGTTAGAGAGTGACCCTGTAGTCGAATGGAAAGGAATGATGTTCCATAAGAAATTACAACTATTGAAGGGTAAAATCAAGGAATGGAACAACTTAGAATTTGGGCGGTTGGAAGAGAGAAAGCAAACGGTAGTTGGTCAATTGGAAGATTTGGATGGGAAGGAGGGGAGGGGAGACCTAACACAGGAGGACAAAGAACAAAGGTGGAATATGCGGAAACAACTGGAGGATGAATTGTTCAAGGAGGAAGTCAGTTGGAAACAAAAGTCAAGGTGTAGATGGTTGAAGGAGGAAGATAGGAATACAAAATTTTTTCATTGTTTGACAAGCGGGAGAAGAAGGAAGAATTTTATTTCAAACTTGGAAATAGAGGGGATAGCCTTATCTGAATAGGGGGAGATTGCTAGGGAGTTTGCTAACCACTTTAGGTCTATATATAGAAAACCCTTAAGTAATAGGGTTTGGATTGAGGGGATGGAATGGCCGAGGTTGAGATCAGAAGATAAGGAGTGGTTGGAGAGAAAATTTGAGGTGGAGGAGGTCAAGGAGGCAGTATTCTCCATGGATAGATCAAAGGCTCTGGGCCTAGATGGTTTTACGATGGCATTTTACCAGGATTGTTGGGAGGTTTTGAGGGAAGAGCTAATGTTAGTATTTGAAGAGTTCCACAGAAGAGGAGTGATTAACCCGGTGTTGAATTCCACATTTATTGCTTTGGTTCCCAAGAAGAGAGAGGCAACACATCCAAGGGATTATAGACCTACTAGCCTAGTGAACAGTCTATACAAGATCATTGATCAGATTCTTATAGCAAATTGAGAGTGTGGAGGACTTCACAAGAGATGTAAGAAGAAGGGGGTAGTCTGTAAGCTAGATTTGGAAAAAGCTTATGACTTGGTAGACTGGTCCTTTTTGTTGGAGGTGATGACTAATTTTGGGTTCAGTGATAGATGGTGCAGATGGGTGTCGGGGTTTATTAGGTCTTGCCACTACTCTATTTTGGTGAATGGAACGGTGGTAAACTTCTTCCTAGCATTGAGGGGAATAAGACAAGGAGACCCCCTTTCTCCTTTCTTGTTCACCTTGATTGCGGAAGTATTAGGGAGTCTAATCTCTAAGGCAGATTCTAGAGGGCTAATTAAGGGTGGGAGAGTTGGCAGGGAGAGTACACCACTAACACACTTGCAGTTTGCAGATGATACGATTTTGTTTTGTGAGGGGAGGGACATGAATTAGATTAGAAATGTGAAACTTACAGTACAACTATTTGAGAAAATGTCTAGTCTGAAAGTTAATTTTGATAAAAGTGGTGTTGTAGGTGTGAATATGGGGGAAAGTGAGATCCTTGAGTGTGCAAATATTTTGGTTTGTGGACTTTCGAATTGGCCTTTGATTTAGCTCGGTCTTCCTTTAGGAGATAATCCTCAAAAAGGAAATTTTTGGACTCCCGTAGTGGAGAGGTTTGAAAAGAGACTTGCTTCTTGGAAGAAAAACTACCTATCTCTTGGGGGAAGAATTACCTTAATCAAGTCTACCCTAGCCAATCTGCCCATCTATTATCTCTCAGTCTTTAAGGTACCTGGAAGGGTTGCTAGTAAGTTGGACAAATTAATGAGGGACTTCTTGTGGGAACCGGGAGAGGAAAAAAGGATCATAGGGTTAGATGGAAGATGGTGTGTAGGAATAAGCAGGATGGAGGGCTAGGCATTGGGAATATTAGGAAGAGGAATTTGGCTTTGCTAGGGAAATGGCTGTGGAGGTTTTCTATGGTGAGGGAGAAACTGTGAACGAAGATAATTTGTAGTATTCACGGGCTTGCAGAGAATGGTTGGGGCTCTGGGATTCCGGCTATAGCTACAAGAGCATCACTTTGGAAATCCATCCAAGATGTTTTGCCTCTCTTCTCTCCTCGGATCAGGTATGATTTACACTCAGGTAATCTCATAAAATTCTGGGAACATGTTTGGGTTGGGGAGACCCTTTTGAAAGAACAATTTTTGGCTCTTTTTGCAATCTCCACCCTCAAAAATGAACCAATTTCCAGTTTCCTCGTCTCCTCGAACTCAAATTCCGGGTTTGCTAGGAACTTGGGTTTGGGAAGAGCACTCAGGGACACAGAACTGGTTAATGTTTCATCTCTTTTGTCCATTCTTGAGGGGATCTTCTTGGAACCCACAAAGACAAATAGTAGGATATGGTCTTTGTCTCCCTCTGGATCCTTCACTTGTGCATCCTTCTTTAAAGTCCTGATACAACCAGAAATTCCTTTTGGTCTGTCATTCCCTATCAAGGAAGTGTGGTGTAAACCTATACCTCCGAGGGTTAGGAGCTTTTGTTGGGAAGTTTTCCTTGAAAGAATCAACACA